CCCCCAGGCACCCCCTGTGTACTGTGGGATACGATGGAGAGAACCGGCTATTTAGGATCTACATGTCATGAATTGGTATTTTTTAAAAGAATTTATACCCCTTCTCTAGAACAAGTTCTGATCCATTTGGGATGTCATTTATGTAGCCAATCACTACCTAGGAAGCCTAAAACAGGTTTTATTTAAACTCACAAACGTATGAATTGTTCGGAAACATATTAATTTAGAAGTCTTTCTGAAATACCGGAGAAACTTCAGGTGAATCTAGAAGAAGAAAATTTATTTTATTTGCTTTGAAGGGCTCTTCAGTAAGAGTTGACATTCATTACTGTTCTTTCCTCTAAAGAAAAAAAAGGGGGAGTGTTTTTATAACTTGCAAGCACTGCAACAGTTGCAAAACAAACAAACAAAAAAGTAAAATCAGAAAACTACCCAATTTATAAAATCAGTTTTTACTACAGTATTTGAGTCCACTTTATCACTCCTGCACTTACAGTACTGGTTATATATATATATATGAATAAACAGATTGTCATAATTTAAGGAGGAGATCATGAAATTTTACAGTTTCAGCAAATAGATTTCAACAAAAACAACTCATTCCACAGTTAAACCTAGAATTTGTTAACTGACAGACAGTAAAAAGTTGTTATTTTGTTTCAGCTTTTTCAGTGATGTACTCAGACAGCAGAAAAATTACCATGTGGCAAATAACCATACAGCACCATAAACAAGATACAACTAATTAGGACAAGAGGTCAGAAACCACCAGTTGACTGATGCTTATAAAAATGAATATGTAAGAAAAAAATGAACGGTCAATTCTCTGAAAAAAGCAGCTACATTTAATTAAAAAAAAAAAAATGGGATAGCAGTTTGACCAGCTCTAGTTTCATAGAGCATCTGAACATTTTGAAGATGATTCAGCTGATTCCAAAAAAAGCTTGTGCGAATAGCAGCCTGGAATTAAGATTTTATTAGAGAGTCAGACACATTGGGAGAGTGCTTTTTCTCCATGTTGCCAGGCAGTGAGTGCAATGAACACTACCTGCAAATTGGAGGAACATGCTGGGTTTCTTTGAGCTTCTTCTAAAACTATCATTAACAACAGAAAATGAAACAGACAGTCATGGATTTGATTGCTTGACTACATACTTTCAAAATCAGCATTTAGACCTTTACGTGTTGGCCTGCTGTGACTGATCGTAAGAAGGGGGGGGACTTAAAAAAATAAAATGGTAATTTGAAATTCGCCTCTATTTACATGTAAGATTATGTCTCTTATGAAACAAGGAATTAGGCTGACCACAGATTACATGCAAACTACAGCAGTCACGTAACCGTATGCTGTCTCTCTCCTTACCAGCTCTCATTGGCAAATAATGACAGCAGAAACCTCAGCTTGGTCCTATACCTCAAATGTACTACTCAACCTTAACATTTTTACATTTAGTTTAAAATGAGGCCAAAAAAGGATTTGCAGAACTAACATAGATTTATCTTTTGTAAATTATTATCATAATATACTGGGAAAGATCATATGATGAGTCATGGTAACAGAGAGGCATTGTTCCTTTCAGTGGACTCAGATGTTGAAGTCAGGCATGAGAAATAATAAATCAGTGTACCAAAGGGTAAATGTTTCCAGGTGTTTGCATCAGATTCATTGCTGCGCTAGCTAAACTAACAGTTACTGGGACTTGGTGCAGTTCCTTCCTCTCATTTATCTGAGGCACAGATCCTGTAAAGCCAGCAGTAATACTCATCACCTCACAGGACTGGGAGCAAGAGGAATAATCCCCTGGCAGCTTGGGCTCACAGTCCTTCAGTTTTCTTTTTCTTTTTTTCCCCCCATATTTATAGACTGTTTCTGAAATAGAAACTTCAAAGCTGGCATGCATCCACCCCTGGGGAGGAAAGAGCTTGCGCGTTCAGAATAAGAATGTCTCGTCTTTCGAGCCACATGCAACATAGTCCATAGATGTAAAGCTGGTTTTAAGCTACTTTTCTACTTTGCTAATAGAGGAAGCGGCCAATAATTGCCATGGTCCCTAGCTGATATCAGAATAGTTTTCAGATTATTCTCATCACATTTGGCTACTGCTTGCTCCTTCTATTCTGCCAGTTGGAAATGGCAGGATAAAAGGAGGTCCCACGCACTCCCCCTCTTCTCTTCGAGGTGACAACAGCTCGGAGGTATGTGGAGCAATGATGTGATGTATCTGCCGCACCACCTGGATACCAGAGAAAACCTCCTCAGAACCGGTCTGCACCATCACAGTCACATACAGCCAGTGTAATAAAACCTTGCACCTGTCTTTTAGCACTTAAAACACTTCTGGTTTTCAACAGGTTTGTGCTTTTGTGACAGCAATTCAGTCAAGCAGAGAGCAATGAAAGCAGTGAGAGCACACATGTGGAAACAGGGATCAGAGGATCAAAGCGCAGTATAGCCTCCCCACCTCCAAAAAAAAGAAGAAAGTAAAAACATTAGAAAAGCAACAGCATTCAAAACAGCTGCTCGTCTGCTGATTAGCTATATCCCAAGCCATCTAACTCATCTGTACTGCTCATCTACCATCTCCCATCAACCAAACTGGAACATTTCAGTCCTCCTGAATTTACTGCTAAAGACAATTTATGAGATCGCTCAGCCACGCGGTATGACACTACTTGCTGAGAACCACATGACTTGAAAAACAAAAAACAATCACATTTAGAAGATGGTTAAAGAAAACGGGAAGAGTTCTTCGGTGGTCAGTCAAAAAAAGTAAAGTTTTATACTGTATAGATTGCTATGAAGCTACTACTTTAAAAGAAACATTTTATGGTAATGAGTTAATGGATTTATGAAGGGAGCTTTTACAAAATATTTTCGGATTTAACAAATGAGATGTGTCAGGATTCTTAAAAGTGAGGAATAGGAAGGAAAGGCAAAGGAAGAAGCAGACAGATACATGTACGAGGATAGATCTGAACAATTCCCTTTCCCTAGTCATTGGCACATTCAGTTTTATATCTTTTACCACCTCTGGAAGTGATGATACTTTCTAAAAACTGAGGTTTGACTGTTTATGCTATTATCTGACCCCCAGGGGACCCTCTAGCTCTCAGTAGAGTAAAGCATAATACTAAGTACGTATATACTTGGAATCCCACCACATTGCTTTACAATATGTGATCAAGGTTTCACACCAGGGCTTGAGCCGGCTTTACAGCTTGCCACCGCCTCTGACGGAGAGAACCTGTTCATTCCTGCCACCCACCCCTGATCATTAGTTACCCCTGGCCAGCTCAGCAGGCAGCTGATCAGATAGAAAGCAAGCTTAAACCATTAAAATAGTGGAAAACTAACTTGGCAAAAAATAAAAGTATTTGTTCCTGGGTTACATGAGTTTAATCAGTTTATCTTGTGAATAAATGGGCAGAACAGGCAGAGAGGAGAGGAGGAATCACATGCTTGGAGAGAAGAGCTCGGGAGGAGAGAGAGGAGCCAGGTCCTCTCCTGTCCTCTTGATAATGGCGAGCTGTTAATTTGGCTCAGCCATACCTGGAAACCACATTCACAGATCACTCCCGATCTTCGCTCCTATATTACAAAAGTATTGTATTTGACTATATTATGGTAATCAATTAATTCATATATGGTCTTTCTCTACTGCAATATGCTAGCATTTCAGTCAGATTATGCCGTTCTATGGAAAAAATGACCATAAGAGGTGAAAGGGCATATGGAGAAATAGATGAGGAAAACCGGCAAAGTCCCAGATGAGATGTAACGGTGTGTAGCCAGAAGGGAGGGGAGTGGATACAACTGGTATTGCTTCTTCACAGAATGAGAGGATGGATGTATTTGGAAACTGTTTTTCTCAGGAATCACCTACGGAAAGCACCTGCTTACAAAGAGGATCCACAATCAGGCACCAGCTATAAGCCATCTCCTGCCAATCAATATGGGAAAGAGAGGATAAGCTCTCTCCTCAATGGATCTTTGAGGCTAATGTAGAATATTTATATCCTCAAAGACAGAGTCTTTGGGCTTGAGCATCCTGGAAAGTGAGTGCACAATGAGGGAGAGTAGAATTTACTTTGTGGCTAGTCAGCACAAACTCTCTCCAAAGTAGAACATGATTTGTACAGCTGGTGCACATCCACCTAATGATCCACTAAGAGGAAACTTTAAATCAGATGAGTCCCACATAGCTGAAGGATCAGCCAGGGACTCCTCTGTACCAGCTAAGTTACCAGCAAACATTAGCCACTTACTTCGCTAATCGGTAAAGAATGATGGTTTAACCTCTTTTGAGTGAACGTCTTTGATTTCACAACTCACAAAGCATGTACTGTGAATACACTTGGGAGAGTTGACGGTTCCTATCTAGATTAGTATCACAGGAACATTTCATTAAATTGAGAAAGGTAGAAGACTTAAAAAGTAGTTTTTAGATCTCCTGAGAAATGAAGTACTGCAAAAGATGGTCAAGTCAAAAAGTGACTGTAAAGACACAAAGGTCAGATTAAAAAATAATAAGCAAATCAGACTTAAAGGTGACACTGCATTCTGCAATCCATTATAGAGTTTCGAATAGCTCTGGATCACCTTATTTTAGTTATTATTTAAACAGAATTCCAGTGCTCTATTATAGCTAAAATGCATCTGGTTCCTATCTTTAGGCATCCTTTTGTGGCAGAGGAAACATATATATTAGCAAGTAATTTCTCTTACTTCTATTTTTCACTGACCATATCTTGGAAGAATCCCTTCAAGTTTCTTTCTTAAATGGGAATTCAACAAACAGATGGAACAAATTTCACAGTAAGCACAATAACCACATCAGGTGTCATTGCACCTTTTACCTGACAAGTCAAAACTGTAAGACATGCTAAGTGGCCGCATTGCTGTAAAAAAGAAATAAAAAGAATAAAAGAAAATGATTCAGCTATTAGAAAAAAGAGGGGTAATGAAAACAAAAGATTAACTCCAGTTGAGACATTTTGGATTTGGCTGCCTAAATCCAAAATGTCAGCCATACTACTGCTTTACTGCAGTAAAGCTCATAAGTGTGAAAACTACAGCAGCATAAATGAGACTTGCAAACACAGCAAGTATAAAGACATTTTATAACGTATAGTTGTAGAATATTTTTGGAATACAGTAAATCAAATATCAAAACAAGAGGTAAGTATCTTAAAAATAGAATATTTTCACTTAAATGCCATGAAAGAGAGAGAGTGCGAGAGAAAAAAGAGAGTGCACAAGAGCAAGAAAGAGAACAAGCAAGATAGAGCAAAAGAGAGTGCAAGAGAAAGAGAGACAGAAAAGAGAGGGGGGGAAGGAGAGGGAGAGAGGGAGGGGGGGAGAGAGGGAGGGAGGGAGAAATGAAAAAAAAAGAAAGTACAAAGCCACATTTCACACAAGTTTCAGTGACCTGAAATAAAGTTTTCTCATTTTTTAAAGCATAATCTCCAATGATTATAATTAAACTAATAAAGACAGACAGAGAAGTTAAGTTTGAGCACTAGTTTCTTAGAAGAGGAAGGGAAAAAAGGCCTAACAGTCTGATTTGTGCTGATTTCTGTTCTTTTTTAAAAGCTGCCCTGCTTAGACAGACTTACCCAAATGGATCTGTAATATTGGCCTTTCCTTTCTGGGTCTCCAAACATTTTGCTCCCAGATAAGAAAGCAGTTACATGTTCTTTATTTCTGGAAAGTTTACATAACCAAGAGCTTTGTTCCCCATCAACTTGCTGACAAAAGTCTGTGCATGAAAATACCACCTTTGGGTAGTGGACAAACCACACGGTTGAGCTGTTGAACCTTCCTCCAGGCTGCCGGTCCAACTGCAGTCCTGACTCCCAACAAACACAAACCACCGCTGTGTTCAACTCATCTATATTTCTAATTGCACGGTGTTATTCTGGGACTAGACACTCAATCCTTTCACAACCGAGACCAAAATTTCAATGTACTAATCCACATCAGCAAGCCAGGCCCAACTACAAGAATGTACCTGGGGGCATCAAAACCGGCATCAGCTCACCTGTGTGACTTGCCAGCTCTTAAACATGCATGTTGGTGTCAAAGGGTCTGTCAGCCAGCCACACATACTGTTGCACTAAAATACGTTTAAAAAAGGTTGTGCTGGGACAAACTTCGTTCCTGAGAATAAATTAAGGCAGTGAACAGTAGGTGGCCAACCCAGAGGCGAATTTGGGAGTCAGCGCATTCTTGCTGCAGTTTAGTAACACACACAGCCAGAGCGACTTAATATAAAGCCAAATATATTTTAAAGCAGAGGGTTTTTATCGCATAACCCTAAGCCCTAACTGAAGGTTGATAAAACATGGACATGCAACAAAAAGTTTTCTCCAAGATTCATTAGCTCAACCGATGCTTTTAATTAAAACGACGTGCCCCTCTAGGCAATATTTGACAGTTTATTCTGATGATTTTATCAGGTCATTTGAAATCACAAATTCCTCTACTCAAATGCTTCCCATTGAGAGAGCAGCTACCAAGATTAAATTGCCAATTTTGAAATAAGTTTTCCAAAGAAGTTTTAGACGAAGGGGGCCCAGCCACAAGCCAGTTACAGCCCACCAGCATGGCTCGTCGGGCTGGCAGTTTGCTTCCAGTTGCTCTCTTTTTCTCAGCAGCAGCTCAGGAGTGGAGATGATCTTACCTGTACACATGGGGACATTCTCTTCCTCCTGCACATTTCACTCTAAAGCTTTTTTTTTTTTTCTTTTCACTGTCAACAAATATGTCTGTCCAGATGGTGTAAGCGTCCTGCACTGTGACTCTACTGAGATTTGTAATCCTTAAACCTCATTACCTTACATTTCATTACACTAAATTACACTCAGTGGGCTTCTAAACTATAAGGCAGATCTATTTGTATCATTCTAAATGTCACTATCGTTCCCAATTCTGGCCCAGCAAACATATTTTATTCTAAAAGGAATTTAGAGATTTTGGACAAAACAATCATCATAAAAGTTTCACTGTGAGAAAGAAAAAAAACTCATATTTCAACATATGAAACAATTATCTTGAAGGGAATCATAAGACCTTCGCTCTTTTTTCTTCTTCTTCCTGCCCACGGCAGATAAGTATTTACATGACTCCACATGCAAAAAAAAAAAAAAAACCTTCAGCACTACAGTTGCGTACATCCTTTTTGACACCTGCAGTAATACGCACTTTTGGTCCAGATAATTAGCTGGACTAAAGGGAAATTAACACATTTCCAAAACTTAAAATCCATTCTTTATTTTACAAATGAAGGCAAATCAGTAAGAAGTCTGGCATCCCTTATCAGAGGTATATGCTATGTTAATCAACCTAGGAAATCCTAGCCAATAATCTCCTAAAATTTAGGACTGTTTTTGGAAACTGTTTACCAACTGGGTTTGATGTCATTTGTATCAGTTAGAAACAGTAAAGATCTAATAGATCAAATTTGCTGCGCCTGAGAGTACATGATAGCTCCCAGATGGAGAAGCTAAAATACTGAAAGAAAAGCAAAGAAGTGTTCTACATTTACAAGCTTTCTATATTTGGAAAAATATTTGGGCCTTCTAATGGATACAGCAAGCATAAATTGAAACCAAAACAGAAGCCGGAAGGCCCAAAGAAACAATATTCAAAACATCACGCTTTCAAAACTGCACCCAAGCAATCCAAACGCTACCAAGCACTCAAAAAACAACGCAGCAAAACAAGACTGATGAAACTCTTTGTCTCTGGAGACAATGAGCTGTCACAACCCGCTTGAAACTGGACCATTGCCTTTAAGCACATGTGGCAGGCATAACATTTTGCAAAAAACAACAGAGAGTACATGCACGGGCTATTTCATGCTTTTCCAGTCGTAAGATGTGACTTTTGCTCTTCAGAAATCCAGCTAGCTGTTTTTCTAGTACAGATAACTACTATACTCTTTCAGAGGAGAAATGTAAGTCACAATGTAAGGTTCTATTTGTCATGCTTTTGTCATGAGAACCACTGAACAAATCAGTGATTGCTGAAGAGTACAACACTTGTACAATCCTGTAGTGGGTTGTTGAATGTACACTGCAAAAATAAACTGCTTTGCAATATACATCTCAATTATTTGCCCATTAAAAATATCGATGAATACATGCTCCATAACTTGTAAAGCAAAGCAAAGATTTACACTCAAAATAGAGGTAAAACTTTCAGAAAACCAAACAAAAACAGATATTCAATTAAAATAAGGAAATCAATGATACTAACAACAGGAAATAAAGAGAATAAAATTAATTAAAAACATATATATAAATAATACCTACAGATATGTAAGGAATATTTCACTGGGGAGAAGAAATACCCATTCCAGTCTGAGCAAATCTAACATTAACTGCCATGCCCAACAAGCAATACGATGCCATTAAATTTATCTAATGCTAACATCAGAAACATGAAGGGATCAAGTTGAACCAGACAGCATCTTATTTTTAAAAATAACTTAGCACAAAGACTGCACAACCCTAGCAAAGCCTGCAGGCTCTTTCTTTTTCTGAAGGGATGGGAACAATTTTATCTTCAGTGAGATCTGTACAGATTTTGCTAATATTATTGCTTCTTATGTGGGACACTTTTCTGTGGATGCTGCTGGTTAAAACTACCAACGGACTTACCCAGCCTGCTACGCCTTATCTCATCAGGTGAGACAGGACGTAACTTCCTTTCTGCCTTGATTTCCTCCAATATCCTTTCATGAAGGCTGCGTGGCCGTGGTGGGGTTGGTTTTAATTTTCTTGCAGAGGCCTTGGGATACAAAGATAATCATATATTCACTGAAAAATACTCCCTAAAAGTAGATTTCACACTTAAAAAAAATGTTGTAATATGATTTTACATGCACACAATTGTAAAACTCACAGAATATTGGAAAGAGAATTGTATTTTTCCCTCATTCATCACGATTTCACAGAGATAAAGGGCTGCTGGTCAGTAACAGCTATTATTTGGTAGGTGCATGATAATCACACTTTATGCTTTAAGAGACCATGTTTTATATACACAAGACAATATTCTTGGAAGCCAAGTCATTTAACAAAACATTTAAAATATCCCCTGGACACACACATGCTTTAAAAAACCCCCACATTTTCATAGGGACAGAAGCGTACTGGATTACGTACAGGATTTAATGGAGGTCGTGATCGGATGAAATCCAGGATTATTTCATGTGCGCTCTTTTTTAATCGCGGTGGAATGTCACCATTGACCTGGAAAGAAGAAAGTGAAATATGTATTTCTACAGTTCGCATTCATATTTCTGCAGCCGATGAGATCAAGCGAAAACTCAGAGCATCCCTGACAGAGCCTGCGGGGTTCTGACACCGGCACCGTCAGTCCTGAACAGCGCAACGATCCATTTGCAGAGCACAGGCAAGCTAAGATGTAGATAAGAGCTTTTCAGCTCGGCGGATTGCTACAGAATAAAGCACAACTGCAGCAGCATTAATTAGCAATACTTACGATCCTGAAATGATGGGATTAAATATCAAGGCTGCAGCTGTGCCTACAGGAGAACGCTGACAAAGCTGGCATCTTGCTTGGGGGAAAAGGAGTCAACCACTCCATTTTAAGAACAAGTATTTGAACTTTTCCTCTATCTTGACAACACTACCAACCGTTACACAGTCTCCAATATTCTGTTCTTAGGTTGAAAAAATATAGATACTTATTAGGGCTCAAATTTTCTTGATCTCTTTGCCCTTATGCGGAAATCCCAGGAGAAAGAGAGAGCTCCTCTGAGAGTGGCTTCCTAGGTACCTCTAAACCCACCCTGCAAAAATTTATTCCAGTTTGATAACATCTGTAGAAAGCAAAGTAAGTCACTAGAAAGGAATGCCATCGAAAAAACAGGACGAGAGTTTCCTCTTTCTAAACCGTATATGTCTGTATAAGAGGTGCTGGAGAAGGGTTGTTTGGGGAGTTTTGGGTTTGTTTGTTTTGTTTCAATCTGCAGAGATACCAGGCATTTCTTTCTCAGGTATCTCATTTTGGACATTCGACTATATATAACACCTCACAGGAAACAGTCAGCAATTCACTAGGTGCACAGGAGATAAAACAAGTCAATGGAAGTTTTCCTGTCATCTGAAAAATCATACATTGTGAGCTGGGAATAATTGTATGGATTTGCTTAAGAAAGGCACCGGTCAGGTTGAGGCTTTACATGGCACAACGCCCCAGCGTGCTGTCAGGGAGGAGAGCGCAGCCCAGGTCATACATCCCTCTGCTCTCTTCTATTACTACCCAGTCCCTGGCTATCGGCCCTGTCTTCTAATTCAATGGAAATTCCCATGACACTATAGTTCTTAGGCTGACTGTCCCAGATTTCAGCACTCTTGATTTTTTTAAAAGGGCCAGTTGTCTTGGTTTTCCTTGGAGGACTTAAAAGCTCTGTAGCCAAAAAAAACCCACGTAAAGACACAGCTGTAGTTTGTCCTATCACATGCACATTTGCTAACCAGGAGGAATGCTGCAGCCATGAAACGACCATGAAGCCACCTGCGCACAAACCCTAACTAAACCTTCCCAATGCCGTGTAACTTCTGTGCATGCTCTGCCTACCTCACTTGTGCCCTCCTCCTAGGCTGAGGCAGAGAGAGAGCCTCTCCTAAAGGATTTGTTCTTCTCCGATACGGGCTCAGATGCAGCGTCTCTCCTGGGGCACGCTCCATTGCTTTCTTGGGCACTCTTTCTAGAGGTGTCTTAGCCCAGACATGGCCCGATTCTCACTTGTTCCCCCCCACCCCTTAGCTTCCTTAGAATAAATTTCACACAGTTTGGCACAGACAAGCTGCAAAACGGTGTGACATACAGCATCTTCCTAGAAATAGTACGGAAAAATTAAAATTGAAAAGGTTGATATTAAATGGCCATTTGACATGTTACGATGAGCAGGATATTATTTTAAGTGATGCGATTGATTTCTTCTTTTTAAAGACTGAGCAGTTTTTCGAGACCAACATGATTCGCCTGATTAAGAATGAAATGAGGAGTCTCCCTTCCCCAGGTTACTGCTCACCAGATGCCAAGGCTGAGAGCTGAAGTTGAAAGTTATTGCCATGAGAACAGCTGTTTTGTAAAGCGATAAGCTCCGTTCCAGCCTCGGGGAACAACTCTGCATCACAATATGAAATAAATAATACATGGCTCTGAGCCTTTCACCTCAGGGCACTCTCTACACCGACTTGAGGCCACCACACTATAATTAGTATCAGTATTCCCATTTGATTTGAAAAGAAGTGCTACATTTGCTTAAGTGATTTTCCACAGGATATACAGGGAGCTCGTGGCAAAGCAAGTGGATAGTTATCGGCTGTTTCAGGGAATAAGCCAAAATCAGGAGCGAAACAGCATCTGCCTTCTCGCACCGAGCTCCCAAGCGAGATGCTAACACAACAGACGCTGAAGGGAAGCTATCATCCCTCCCTGTCTACACTAGATTTTTTTCTTTACTCAGGCTAAATCGCTCTCACTAATGAACAGCTTCACGTGCATCTTTTACTTTTGGTTAATTAATTAATTAAAATTCATGGCTCTCAATTAAGGCCTAAGTGAGAGATGTACACATGCAGCCACGATACAGGCAGTAGGGGGAAAAAAAACATAAAAAGCAAAACAAATCCACCCAAATGATCTCTTTGTTAACATTAAATGGGCTTTTCTGCAGCAGTATGCATTAAAACTAGTAACGTGGGAAAAGCCCAATCAACGATTACAAAATCAAATAGAAATTTAGAGGTCTAAACAGCCAAAGCATTGAAAAATTACCATGTAACAATGTACTGGCCTGGCACCCACTACCTTCGTATCTTATATATATACGTGTGTATATATATATATATATGGATTTGTAGTTGAAAAGCTAACTGTGAATGGTATTGAGTAGCCTTTAACAAAGGCCTGAACAATGGTGATGATCACACAAAATAAAAAATACACTACAAACGATTTTCACAAGAATCACGTCATTCACCAGTGATGTTCAATTATCTCAGCCAGTTTTTTTTCACACTATGAAAAGTAACAGCTTTAAGTAGGAGAGTGCTATCTCCAAATAACAGCAGATAGAGCTAAGATTGTTAGGTGCCTCCCACCCTGTTAGCTAATATTACCTAATAGCTAATATTGCTCTGCACTGCCTAGGAATTTGCATTTGAAATGAAATGGAACGAACACTGAGATGGACAGAGGGAGGACATGTTACATGGGTTCCACAACAGCCCATGATAAACATATATCATGAATTAAAGTACTATAACCATATACATGTGTTCTCCTTCATTATGCAGAAAGTATATCACTTTTGTTAACAGAGTTAAGCTACAGGCTGCATATCAATTTTCTGATTTGACACCATACAGGAGGCTCACATGGCACTGTCCATCGGTAACGCTCCTCAATACTTCACCATCGTAAGCCGCTGTGTTCAGACCTCCACAACTGCATATATATATAGTGGATACAAGTTTATGATACCACTTAATAATCACGATACTTCTCACACATTATCACTATTTCCTTGAGTATCTCCAAAGCATGAATAAGAACTGTAAACAGCACCACCACTGTGCCTAGGGTGACTCCTAAATTGCTGCCCAAAAATGTGAAGGGGGCAGAAAATAAAAAATGATATTTCCACGCTTAAAGCAGTTGAAAATCACTCAGTAGAAGTGAATCAGGTCAGGGCATAAGAGAACAACAGACTCCACCACGCTCAGCTGGACACACGGGTTGAAGTGATCGCTAACCACGTTCCTCACAGTCTAGATGTCCGACCTGAAACATCTGAAATCTCATTTGCAAAAATGCTGCACGTGCACGTCTGTAATTGCAGTTAATGTAAGTACTAGAAGATGCTAATTACTGTAAGATATTTAAAAAAAACTATGACACAGGATACTCAGATTAGACATCCAAATTACTGGATAATTTTGATAATATTAACTAATCTACATGCCTCCGTTCCCCTTCTGTAACACGGACAAAGTAATACTGCTGCATCACACAGGTATTTGCAAAGATCTCAGATATGGGGAGAAGAGCATCATTACCCATGAAGAATTTAATAATTATATATGTCATGCAGAGTTCATACGCTACATAAAAGCCACCTTACAGCCACGAACTGAGTAAGTAGAATAAGAGTTATCTAGCTGCAGTTCAGTAAGCACTGCTCAAGAAATACTGTGAATGATGCAAAACTGGGTGGGTGGGGAAAAGAGAGCTAATATACGAAGTCAATGTGGAATTAAAAGCTGTAGCTTAATGCATATGCCCAAAGAAGACAAAATAAGGCTGCCAGGATGATGATAATTCTTAAATTTCCCAATTTCTGAGTGTTGACTGTACCAATGTACACCACCGTTAACCTTTTGGGAGGGAGCGCTCCACAGGTGAAAAGTCCTATTCAAACTGTTCAGGCAAACATTCAAATATTTAAAAAAGCTAGGATTATATTTATCATGTTCCTATCCCAACCATAGAAACAATGACTCTTGCATAAGAGGGACACAGAGATGACAAATTTGAAATTACTGTATGAAATTATGTATATACTGAAATAGAAGTGCAGAAGTCACTGAAACTAATGAAATCAGCTACTTATAAAAACCCCTGAATTTGACATCTTCAAAACATTTGAAATATTTGAACTATTCCAGAAGACTAGTAAGAACAGACAGCCCTAGTTATTGGTATCTGTTAGCACAACACTCTTGATAGTCTGAAACACCAAAGTAGCTCCTAAGAAATGCACCTTATTCAAACATCTGCTCCTTTCCTAATTTCTACTAGGAGTACTCACCAGCCAGGGACAGATCAAGCGACTTGTTTAAATACAGCATTACAATCATAAAAAGAAGAGTACAGACTTTATGTTACGTGTTATTTACGTTAAAATTATCCACCTCTTGTTATCATTTGTAGTATGCATTTTCACAAGCTGCCAATTCTAAAAATACTACCTGTAACGTTTAAAGCAAAAATTGGTTTTAATAATAACTTTGTCAAATGTCTGTTTTGATTGATACAAAGAAACATAATCCATCTTTCCATGGCTGCTTTATAATTCAGATTTACAATTCTTGCCTTTTCCTCCTCTTCTGTTCTTCTCACCATGACAGTTTTCTCTGATGGGAATACATACAAAGCTTTGACCCGTGACAGTCAGCTGAGACTCTATTTATGAGACCTAACTAAACTTGTAATTATCTGTGAATCCCTCAGGCTCCACACGTTTCATATTGAACTGCATTCTTATTATCGTGCACATTTTGTACATTCTTCAAGCAGGCCCTGCAGCAGAATGCCAGTTACTGGATGGAAAGTTTATAATAAGAAAGAAGTTATTTTTCTAACACAAAATCACTAGCAGGTGTGGTCAGACTAAGCCAGCAATTGCATTGCAGACAGCACTACAGTATTGTACCTGCAGTAGATTTTAATCTCAATTCATGTCTGTCCAGAAGTTACTCTGGATAACCTGCCCAGTAGACCAGAGAGCGGGACAAAAACAGATGCTTGCAAGTGTTTTGTATACAGCAAGAGTCTGGATGACCGGAGGAGTAGCTGTGCCTTCAAGACCTAGCATATGATGAAGCAAATCTTTTCAGATGAAGAAAATCTTTTCAGAAGACGCAGGAGCATGCTCAACAGATAGTGAATTAAACACTAGTCTGACAAAAGCGAAATTAGGTGACCCAGGGGTTCCCATTCAAACAAAACTACTATACTGACTGCATACAGTAATCAAGGCCCTGAGGGTACTGTTCTTCTTTTGCAGTGGGTAGTACGAACACATACGACAATTCTCTGAACCGTTAGCGGAAGGATGGATAACATCAGTATCCGGGTACATATTTTACTCTATTGATTTAATATGTAAGCAACAACATCTGCTGCAGAAAATAATTATAATCTCATAGCCTAAATCCAGATCTTGACTGCGAAACGACTTTCAACTCACATATAAGAGACATTTATATCTGCAACAAGATTCATGTATTTGCTCTCTGTGTAGTTCTTCCAGCTTTTTCCTCCTTTATTCTTTTTCTAATGATCTCTAACAAGACAAACTATATGCGCATACACTTGCACATGTGCCTGCTCTCTCTCTTCCTGTATATATATATGTTGTGCTTGGGACTTTCTGAGTTTTTCTAGTGGAAACGTGGCTTTCTCACTAACAAAGATTTTGTGAGGATTTGTCAGGAAAAAAAATACTTGAATACGGACTATTCTATGAAGATGCTTCCACTATCTACAACAAGCAAAAATAAGTAAGTGCAAAGTATAAATACTGACATTGCTCAAATACACACCTGTGACAAAGGGGGTGTAAAATGTCCTATGAAGGATAACGATCCCCTTATATCAGTTGCACGCTTATTGTAAAGAATCTCTGCATGTTGATCACAGCATAAACCAAAAGCAACAAAGAATGGGGAGACACCAGTAAATATCAGTATGGGTTCTGATAAAAACAGTGCCTCAGGTCAATCTTATATGTACCCTTCCAACCGTTCATGTTTGAGATGTACATGAGTACCTAGAAGGAGACCCACCAATACTCTCCAGCTTGCTTTAGCTTATTTTCTTGACTTGAAAGCAGCAATAGGATATAGTGAAAATAGTTTAAGTCAACTTTATAAAATTGAAGACTTCAAGGTGAAATGCTTTACACAGATAATTCCTTGAAAATTCGTAACAGACCATCCAGTCTCAACAACTGCAGCAGGTAAGGTAAGTTTTCCTGCGCCGCAGGTGATCGTTTGTCTTCATCACACTATTCACGTTACAACGTGGTAGCACTTCACCCTCTGAAATAACACATTTATCTTCCAAAAATTACATTGACACTCAACATAAATGTTTTCTTCAATAAGAAAAGCCTAAAAAATCCCTCAGCATAGCATGACAGCACTGGTATGATTTGAATGCTAACGTTATCATCAAGCCAACAAAAATCATTTGTTCAAGCATAAGATACGTAGGCCTGCTTTTTGCAATTTTTAAATGCCTGCCATATGGAAAATAAAATGCATAGCGTTTGCTGGTTTCACTTTTTTTCCTCCACACACTACCTACACTTAAGGCAGAGTAGAAAAACCATGAACATGACTAATCATACAAAATCATAATTTCAAAGTTCTCAGAAAAAAGACAAAGATAAAACAAAAGGAAGACAGGGAAAAAACATTTCAGATTTGACAGAATCTAGTGATTCTCTTGACTTACCATAACCTTCCTTAAGGTATAGCGTTTGGATCTAATGTCATCCATCAGCATTTCATAGGGTGTGAGCTGATATTCTATCGGGAGGGGGTTGTACTGACGCTCTTGAACTTTCTTAAGTTTGACGCCATTCCGTAAATCTCGCATCACTTGCACCCAAAAACGAGCCTGAAGAGCCAAGACAGAGAAATTTTATTTAATACCTTACGCTTGAATAACAACTGAAATTAAACCAAAGTTGCTCATTCTCCTTTCAGGACATCACCACACCAAACAGTTAGAGCTATCCTATTTTATTTTTAACTTGTTAAAACAAGTAAGGAAAGCGGCTATTCTCATCAACCAAAGTCCATCTTATTTGTGGCTATTTCATATAAGGCTATTTTTAGCCCTCATGAGCATAACAAAACTTCATTGCAACTCAGCAGAACTTCAGTCTCTCCTCAAGTGATAGCCAGAACTAAAAGAATATGGGAAAAGGGTTTGAAAATTCTCATATACCTTCAGATTTCTATTTCAGCTACACAGCATATATGTCAGTAAAGTTTCTAGACTTGTAGCTAACGCTATGTGAATTAAAATACGATGAGTTAAGTGTCTGAATCCTAACCTTTGTTTCTCTTCTGCCCAGAACTATCCTGCAGAATTTTCCAGCAGTTCCTCCTCAAATAGAAATTTTGGGATGATCTCCCAGTCCTAAGGTTTAGGGATGTCCAGTCGGTACTCCATTCCCTTTTGCTCTGCCTGTAAGAGCACTGCACCCTAACCTCTTCCTCATTTCTTCTTGGCAGTAGGAACAGGTGGGGAGGAAGAACTGCTGGACAGGAGGAAACTGGGAGATGGAAATCAAGTACTTTTAAGAACCTCATAATGTTCCTCCACGCAGTGGCCGGAAGAGTAACTAGAAGCTACCAGAAGGTACCTTCTCTAAAGAGTTTCTCTGCAGCATTTTTATTTTACCATTCTAGAAACTCACAGCTGATGGCTCTGACTACTGTCTGGCTGCCACTTTGAAGGGCAGTCATTACAAACTCTGTCTAAATGTCCAACTTTTTAAATTACAAAAGCTTCCTCATGAAAGCTTAGTCTAAAGAAGAAATGTAATAGCGAGCAGCTTGGATACTTGTATTGTTTCTCCTGCCTGTGAAGGAGCGTGAGATTCTGCTTCATCCTAACTGGTCATGACTTATTACTAATTCATATGGCAAAAAAACAGACACTGATTTTACCATAACACAAACGACTCTACGTAAACAATATAATGAAATATAAACTATTAATAACGACACTGATTCATTATTCAACCGCTGTCTTACCCAGTCAGCATTTTTTAAGTCATCAAGGTCTGTGCTGGTTTCGTCACTTGCTTCTTTGTCCATTTCTTGAATCTTCTTCAGATTCTGCCACCAAAAAGAAAATTAGCCAATAAACTGAATGATGGCATTACTTTAAAGTAAAATGGAAGTTTAATTTTTGACATCTTTTGAAATATGTCATTTGGGTATTCTGATTAACATTTTATGACTTGAATAATAGCACTGCAATAGTAATAACAGTAATTTGAAATACTATTTGAATATTAGTGGCCCCTAAATGCTGGAGAAAATCTGAAGTTTGGCATATGAACCTAGCTTAATAGCATTTCAAAGGGAACTATACTGAGAAATTTTAAGATTTCTAAAACTGGGCTATCACAGGAAAAAAAACAAAACAGGAGGTCAGAGAGGTTACAACACAGAGAAGTTTACTGACTTGAAAGGATACATTCATAACAAAATTACTGTCAGTTGCCAAATGCAAGACAGCTCATTTTTGCAAATGAAGAAAGTCCTGCAAAGTTAGCCATTAAGAGAAATAAATCATGAGGGATCCTTTCAATAGAATAGTGACAGACTTACATCTAAAACAAAATTAAGTAGATTCTATAACATCGTTAAAGACTTTGGAATCTGAGTAATATAACCATATAAGTAAGGAATGAAAACAGATCTTTCAAAGGTAACAATTACTGTTCAAGAAAAAGGTCTGATGAGGCAAATATGAAAAAGACTGCATCTAAATGGGCAAAACAAACGCTTTCACAATAATAAGAATTTGAAAAATGACAGGTAAGTGTCACATAAACAAATGCAAGCAAGAGATTTAAAAGACACAGGTCTTACTGGATTTACAGAAATGATCTTGCCAGTTTTTGTTTTACTTCCAAATTGAAATGTCCAGCAATATAAACCAATTTTCAATATTCCATTTTTCAGAGAGTTTTCTAGCAAATTTTTCCTTTAACAATGTTTAATTTGATCTGTTATCTAATTATTTACTTATGTATTAAACATGGATAGCTACATCTTCTGCTGACTAACTTCTTGAGTTTATGTTATGTGACTAAATCAGCAGGTCAGAGATAAGCAGAAGATTTCTGTATTTATCATAGAAATACTTGTCTCACTTTTGAGCCTAACACACTCTACTATTCTAATGGAACTGAACAGAGAGTCTCAATTTAGCTTGGGAGCTTCCTAGAAAACTTAAGAAGTAAGCATATCTTGAAAATTGTTTTTTCTCCACAAAGTAGTACCGAAACTGTCAACATCTGAAATGGAAGCACTGGAAAATCCACTCAACAAACAGAGCGCAAGTATTTACTAAACCTGATTACAGAGAGAGCACACATGAGTCACCCACCCCAAAGGTTTTGGAAAAACAACAGATGGATTATTTATTGTCTTATTTAAGTAAGTAGCACACTTGCTGTCAGGTCAGAAAAGAAATACTACTGTTGCCCTTTACAAAAATAATACATAATTTATTGAAAGATTTTAGAAAACTCATAAATCGTCTTTGCTACAAAAGCAAATATGTCCCCAGAACGTGGGAACATTTGAGCACGATTTGCGGTATCATCACAAGATACCCAACGGGGGGAAAAAGTCTGTATGGAAATTTGCGTCAGGTCTGTTGCTGTGGTCAGCAATCACTCTAACATCTACTTACAATCATCCCTTTTCCATGGAATGAAAAAAAATAGAAAACCAGAAAGAACAAGTAACATTAAGGTCTCCTTTACACAAATTTTGCACTCCAGGGTTTCTTCTTTTCTCTATCACACTCACAGTTGCAGTAACCATTTCAAAGATGCTTTCTGTGAACTGTAAATGATTTGCCTTCTTGCAAGGTGCCAACATTTGTTAATAATCTGCAAAATATAAAATCATCCTCTTTTGCCTTTAGTCTTTTAGTCTAACCAAAAAGTCAACTTCAGCAAATGAGCTGACAAACGTCAGATCTGCTACTCTCTTCCACACTGGAAGATACACATTCATTTTTACAAAATTAACACATTCCAGCTGCTTAACCTTTACGTCGAATGTTCAACAAGGTGTGCAGCAATTACCCACTTCAGCAGCTATGTTCCCTAATATACAGTGTGCTGGGCTGCTTCAGGCCCAGAGGCATCAGGAGTGACATAAATATTCCATGAAGCTAAAAAGATTAAACCTGTTATTTTTAACAGCAGAAAATCAGAAAGGAGGAAAAACGTGAAGAGCTGAGAGACCTTCCAAATAAGGCAACCATCTAATTTAGTTTCCCTGAAACATAGCCAGAGGGGGAGTTTCTACTTGAGCCAGTACAGGTACATAAACGATACTAGCTACCACAGACCGTAGAGCTGCAAGAGCAAAACCTACCAGCCAAAAGGTAGCAGCTCATTTGTAGCATAAATCTGCACTTTCAGGGATTACAAGCAGAGGCTTACAGCCCAAGTTAGGCTCCTGCTCCTCGCCATCCTAGCTGAGGGCTCCTGCTGCTTCCCTTGTACACCCACTCAACAGTGAATTGCTTGAGGAGAAAAAACTGCAGGAAAAATATTCACTTTTTCCTCAGGGGAGCTCCTCCCCACACCCCAGGCTTTGGTCCCTGAATCCAGCTCACTGTGCAATCAGTGGAGAACATAGAACGGAAAGTAATTTTCCTTTGTTTGAAAAGTTAGAAACCTTTGGAAACTTGGGGGAAAAAGGAAACAGAAAGTATTCTATCCTTGCAGCCATTATTTATGAAGGTTTCTTTAACTCTTCTCCACCTGTCGGGCGCTGCTTAAATTCACTGTGACAGACGATTATGTAAAATCTTCTAGACTAAATGAAATACAATCATTTCCTTCCACCACCCTCAGCCAGTGTCAGTGGCTTTTGGACTCTGTTTCAATTGCAAATTATAGAAACCAAAGCATTTACAATACAATAGACTGTTTGTCAGAACTTAATTGTGACCCAAAAAATCTATGAGTAACCTCAGCTGCTATATCCATTTGTACTTACCCCTGGGACAATGGATTAAGAAAAGCTATTACAGTATAATAAATACATAGTCGACATGGTTTTCTATTTCCGACAGCAAAAACATCTTAAAAGGGTTTTTCTAAGTGATCCTAGCACCTCAAACCCATACCACAAATCTGATTCATCTATTACAGTCTGCACATACATTCAGGAAATAAAGGGTTAGATTTGTAGGATGTCAGCGTTTCAACTACATCTGTTCTTTTTTTAACCTCACAGCATTTGGCCATTTTTAAAACGGAATTGTGTGACTACTAAGTGTAAGAAAAATATAGAATTTCTTTGAATTTATGGTTGCACTATTTAAAGCAGTCAATTAATTTGTTGTTGCTAAGTGGCCCACATTTGAAGCATGTTCTTCTCTGCTCAGTGACAGATGGAAGGTTATGTAAGACACTTGTCAGCACAACGTCAAAGACTCACTTCAACAAAATGCTCTCTAAAATGAAACACTTTAATGAACACGGAATTCTCAGGAATCCACATCTTGACTTTGTCTTTCACAAATTTCAAAACACAATCTATTACAATTTCCAGTTTATATTTTTAAATCTGAATAATTTTTCCCTGATGCAAGTAATTCTTACACTGCTACCTAGGAAACTAATAAAGTAGTCTTGCACGTCTGATCTTGGTTTAGAAATATATGAGCTACATATCAGGAAAAACTGCTTTTATGTATTCAACTGTCTATTTTGGGCTTGAAATGTATGGGCTTAGCCAGTAGTGTTACCTCAGTTTCTTAAAAATGTCCCATTTAACTCAAACAAGAGGTGTTGAAGGGAATACGATCAGCAGAACCAGTCCTGAAAACCTCTCCATTTTTTGTATGTGTGAAAAAGAGCTTTCTCTCGTATTAAGAGGTTTGCAATGGCTCCTAAATTGAGCGACCAAAGAAATCATGATGGGGGTGCAAGCCTGATGACAACTCAGTTGCAAGGGTGGAGTCACAAGTCTGAAAGTATGAGCAGAAGTGGGATCATGAGCAGAAAAGTTCGGGCACTCGTGTCTTTCTTGGACAGTATTTTCTGAACATCCAAGCAGAAGGGTATTCTTAACAGCTTCTATGGTCACCTGACTATTAAGGGTAACTTGGCTAATGACTATGTTTCTGAAATAAGCGATCCATTAACAAGAAATGCATTAAAACATTATTTGAGTACCTATTAACTAACTACCTCTATTATCATATTTTTATACAAACAATATATATGTGTGAAAGGTATATATACAAATTTTAAATGGAAAGTAACAATCTACTTTTGTAATTAACTGTTTTTCCATTAGAATCTTTAACATGAAATGAAATGAAACCAGAAAAGCAAGAAAGGAACAAGAGAAGTTTCATTTCTACTCATGCACTTAAATAGAATCTGCAGGTTTAACTTTTTCATTCAGGTCAGGTTGAAATATATCCAGACAGACTGACAGATCAAGTTTCTACATGAGAAAGGACAGAAATGAAAGGCGACATGATTTAAATTAACACTTTAAAGAAGATAAACTGGGAGCCTTGCCTGTATTCTGCCAAGAACTTGAGTTAATTTAAAAAGCATACTGTGGATAATGAAACTTTGGACGAGTCCTTGAAGAACACTGATTTACACTGCAACTGAAGATGTATGTGATTATAAAAATACACAAAGTTTTAATTAATTTGGAAGGAGTATTAATCTTGATGCTTCAAGGTGTAAACCAATCTCTAAAAATTTTTGAGATGAGTCAGTCCTAATTTGGCAGATTAAGGCACATTTGCCTACTGAATCCTACTTATATTTTATGCTGGCCAGCTTCACATGCCATCTTTTAGCACCAGCTTTGCCAGTCGCAGCATTTATCACCTGCAGCGCTCACATGAATGTTTTGCTTTGCTACAGGCCGGCACTGGTATTTACCAGCACCACGTAGCCATTAAGCATGAGCAGAGCCTTAACCTCACAGAGAGGTAAGACCGGGCAGTAACAGGGAGCTGAGGGAGGACTTGGGGCAATATGCCCTCAGCAAACCAGATCAGACCTGGAAGAGGAGCACGTGCCCACAATTTGGATGGCAGAACCAGATGGATTCCAGATCTGATCAAAATCAGCAATTTCTGCACTCCTAGGCTTGTACAGTCTCTCCTTGTCTCTCACAGTCGCACTTGCTGCCACCTGTGAGCAGCAGTAATGACTTTTTCCAGATGCACCACAAAAGGAACATTTGCTTTATCTCACAGACATCGTTCATTTGCACCCAGAGTTCTGTCTATGGCTAGGTGTAAGCAAAGGTGATCTCAATGTCTTTTGGATCATCTTGAAAAAGATCGATCTTTTTTTTTACATAGCGTCCATTTTTAGCAGGTATTTAAACTATCTTCCCCTCAGACACACACATGCATTTCCTCCATCTTCTCCATTCTTTTTTCTCCACATACAAAAACAGAAGAAGAGGTTCGTTTTCAGTGGAAATCTCTTATTGCAATTATAAAAGCTCACTGTTTGAGATGAGACAAGTTGTTGGGTTCTGTTTTTGCCAGCAGCTGTAAGTGCCTGAACAGTAGGATACAGAGTTAGGAAGACCTGGCCCATTCAAAGACCACTTCTGGATGACAGCGGGTGGAACACAGGGTGGATCAACAGCCAGAGCACCTATCACAGAGGTGTCTGAATAGCATACAGAAACTGCCAGCAAGCTGAAAAAACATCCCAGTAAACTTGCTAGGAAAACTCCACCTCGCAAAAGATGAAAAGGTAGGTCAGATTAGTTAACTCAGTTTCAGCGCTACTTCTGGAGCAGCTGCTGCTGCCGCTATTCCACAGAAATACATATTTTTAGCACTGTTCTTATTTTTTTTACTTTTTTACTATTGTGCTAGTACTATCACGCCTTTCTCATCTTTGGCTTGAGTTCTGTCATGTGCATCTACTACAATTAGCATCTCATTCTCTCTAAGACCGGAAGCGTCTCCCTGTTAGCAAGTCATCTTTATTGCTTGTCTCTGACCTTTCATACCCAGAGAATTAGACTAGGAAAAAAAAATCTGCATGGCATCAAGTATGTGATAGAGTGCCTAAAACATTTTACTTGACATCCATTGAGATGACCTGAACAGCTCACTCATTGCTTCATCATTTCTGAGTAATGCACCGACCCAAATGTAGGCCAATAAAACCCTTTCTGAAACTACATTCTATTTATTATACGACAGTGATATTCACATGATAGGCAGCAGAGCAAATGACTATTTAGCAGATATATTAGTAGCTATATTTATCACAACCCTACAGGCCTATACCTCTAGCTCCCTGATATGTCCCCCGTGGGATGCCATAACTTTCAAAATTCTCCCAAGTTCTTTTATAGTGCCACATTGAAAATGGTATCACAGCACTATTTTTTTTCTGCCTATTTCACAGTGGACTTCTCTGCCAAACCTGCCCTGGGCTATAGGCTGAGGTAGGTCAGATCTGGTCCATTGCTAGTGAGTGAATTTCTACAGATAAACATCCTCTCTCTCCCACTACAGGGAAGCTGGCTGTTCTAGCACCTACTGAGCAAAGAGTATGAGCTCCACATATCTAGGAAACAGATACCCCAATACCATACAGCAGCCCTAGAAGAAGGCCAAGAAATTTCAGAGTAATTGTTATTAATAGGAAAGTTATTTTAAGGCATTTTAGAGAATTTTGTTTTCCTTTTTAGAGTTTTTAATTTCATTTTGGTCTCCTCGGCACAATTGTGTCTAGATCTGAGAGCTTCCAAAGGAAGCTCTCCAAACCAAGTGGTTAGTTTCTGAAGTAACCCAATAGTTTCAAACGCCTGGCATCTCCAGTGTCACAAACACGGCATTACACGCCATAAGGTTCTTTTACTGGAGGTGCTGTATAAAACTTGTTTGTTTCTTTCCCCCTCTCTGCCAATGCAATCATCACAAATTCATGATGACAAATTGTCCTTACTAAAGTGTTATGTGTTTCTCTCCTTAATACTCATATTTATGTGAGAATACAAAAGAAAAAAAAAAGAATTTATTCTCTTCAGTTGTATTTGACCATATTACTCATGAATTAAGATTCCTCTGTGTATTTGAAATACAAAAGAATATATAAACACAATACCACAATTTTTATTGGCACAAACCTAATACGATCACATGACTCCAACTTGCCTCAGATAAAAACTACAGAGGCAAGATTTATAGCATTCCACCTTGTATTTTCTTCATATCTACTATTTCCTATGAACTCTACATTATTTTCAAGCATTAAATAGCTTTGAATCTATAATTGGATACAGGTCATAAATAAGGAACAAGTGTCTCATAAAACGTATGTGTATTCCAGAAGCCGCTTTTAAGAAAGCTAAGTTTCTTAGTTACTTCTTGTATGCATACTGAGGGACTGACCCAGAGTAAAATGAAATCAAATGATCCAAATTGTGGCCTTTGTAAGTGCAGTGATAAAAGTCCCATTGATTTCAGCAGGGCCAGAAATCCATCCAGAAGGATTACTTCCTTTGACCTAAATGTGCTTTGAATCAATCCCTAATAGCCTTTGAGAGGCAAATGATTTCTTTCATTTGGGATTAACTCATAGTATGCTCTACGGTGTGATTGGATATTGCTGTTTTTTCAGTGTCCAACCACAAGATGATTAAATAATTTGCAAGTTCAAAACACTCCACTAATTTTTAATAAAAGTCTGAATAGTTTTTAACAGTTATTTTTAAATATTTATGAAACATATATTATTTTACTTCAATATTGACTAATAATAGAGATGGCTTATAACTGCTCCCTGTGCTCAAAACTTTTAAGAACTACTGAAATGTATACTGCCTCTCTGAGCAGAAACAGGAACTCCAGAGGGTCTTGTATTTGATCCTTACTATGGATGCTGTAATAGCTGTTAGTTGAGGTGTTTCTGGCAAAGGTTCTTCAATTAGTATATACAATGCTTAGACCCTTAAGGAGCAGTCAAAAGCCAAGCTGTGAAATTAATGACGTCGATGTTCAAGAGACAGATCTAGTACTAAGACACTGTATCCTGCCTGGGCTCTACCTTCATACATAGACCATAACATAAGCACTTCAGAATACAAGTGGCTCTAGCCATGCTGACGCTATCATAACCATCCTTGTATGATCCTGCTTCAGTTTAAAAATTGCTTTCAGGTTGAGTAGAACTGGAGGAAACACGTACACGAAACTTAGCAGAAAAACATCTCTGAAGAATTGCCCCTCTTGGAAGAATGCATCTCTACCAGGTTTCTGAGGAGAAGGAAAGCAAACACCAGCCCCTTATGTCTCTGGTTTGAGTCTTTCACCAGCGTGAAAACAACAGCTCTCTTGCGCTGCTCTGGGGCTCATCTGATCCTTGACGAGCTGATTCAGCTCATTAACCTGACAAGGAATGATTCCTCTTTTTTGTTTTTACGGTGTTTGTTTTCCAGAACCAGAGCAAGGAAAACTGGGGGAGTTTGTGTGTGGGTGGGTGGAACAGCATCGCCTCTTGCAGCAGCAGAATTGTTAGATCAGCCTGAAAAATCTTACCCTGCTTTTCAAGGTTACTTTGGATCTTGAATTACAAAAGAAAAGAAAATCCTTCAGGGATTATACTAAAAAAATATGGAAGTGTTGCTACTTGAGAGGATGGCTTTGGGGAAAAATCAGCTTAAGAAGTATCTTTACCTTCCTGCTTTCTCCCTCACCCGCTTGTTTCCCAATTTAATCAACTCCCTCCCTGCGTTAATACTATTTTTAATAGAGCCCTTCTGCAGACCAAGATCACTGAAACAATCTTAATTAAAAAGAATTTTCCCTCTCCCCCAAAGTTATTCTTCACCCAGATCATTTAAGTGAAGTGGTTCATAGGATGGTCTTTCAATCAACAGTAACAACCAAGGAGGCAGTGAACATAAGCATGATGACCTAAAGACTTTTTAAAAATTGGTTCTGCTGTGAAGTCTATGTGACAGCCTAACCAGCCAATTGTACATCAAAGGTATTGAAAGCTGCTGACTGGGCACAAAACACAAGCAAGGAGAATCTCAGATAATTCTCCAGCAAAGACAAGATATGAGAAGGAACTGAAGGAGGACAGGCAACTTTCTAACATGTTACAACGTTGCTGAAACACTAGAGAAGTGTTCAGTCTCAAACACACTGCATACTCATGTGCCTGGAAGAGTATCGTGCGAGCCCTCTGAGAAAAATTCCCATTTTCCTCCCAAATATACTAGTCACAATTAATAACAATTTCTATGAGATATTCAAAAATGGTTACAGGACAAAAAAGAAAACGCATCTCTAGAACTTCCTGAACGCTGCAGCTGATTTCCTCAAGCATCTGGCACCCAGTACTGGTTAGGCAGAAGTAATTTTGTAAACCTACTTCACATAATGACAAGTTTAAAAGCAGAAAACCTTCTCAGACTACTCACCTCTTTTGCGCTTTTAATTTTGGCCAAGAAAGTGTACAATTCCATCGTTTCAGCAAACAGAGCCCGACATACTGCTTGATAGTGGTTCGGTGCCTCTGATCGGGTTGGCAGATGGGCAGCACACAGCTAGAGAGAAAAATAAATGCCAATATAAAAACAATGCCCCATTAATTTAATTAATGCTACAGAACATGAAATAACATCAAAGAGAACGCAATGGGATATTTAGGACACAGAAATCCATGAGAGATATTTAAATTTGGCAGAAATTGGGATATATTTCCTAATTCTGCTACCTTTTATTTTACAATAGAGTTACTTCCGTAAACAGTAGGGACACTGGTTGACATTTAAAGGAATATGACTACTTCCCAGAAAACTCTGAAAACCAAGGCATCACCTTTTCACTAAAAAAGCCCCTGATATAACTGTCACAGGGAGATTAAAAAATCTTGCAGTACCAAATTTTGGAAAAAAGTACATAATAATGAAATACCTTCCAACATTGTGTAACTGTTGTTTACCTTTCTATGAACGTGGAAAAGACCTTTATCTCTACCAATTTATGAAAGGATGGAAGGTGCAGCAAGGGAAAAAGTTAAACCTAGCAGTCAAGCTGAAATGCCTGTTTAAGATATTTCTGACGATACAAAGATTTCAAAAAACGGTAAGAGCTGTGAAATAATGCAGGCTGATTGCATCACATCAGGCATTCGCAAACATTTCTAGGACTAAGATAGATCTGTTCACTCACACTAACCACAAAACATGCTGAAAGTCTACTTAAATCACTAACAAACATTTATAACTACTGTTAAAAAGTCTGTAACATGCTAGGAGAATAATTTTGTCCTGAGATGTGGAGGATTCACAGGGTAGTCACAGGCTTATGACATGGACAAAGGCATCTTCCCTGAGACTGGGAGTCAGAGATTGCTTCTACTCTAGCAATGTCAACTAATGGCAAGTTCGACCTCAAATCAACCAGCCTAACTTCCATGTGTTTCAATCTTCTATCTCTCAAATTTAACTTTACACAAAATTACTTAATCCTATACCCTGCTTTTAAGGTCCTAATCATATGGTATTCACAACAACATGAAAATTGCCACTTAAGCCACCCCAAGTTTTGCCTCGGTGAGGACTGTACTAAAGTCCAGCGTTACATTTAGAACAAAATATGCAGACCTCACCTCCTACAAGAAAAGCCTCCCTGAAGCCAGCCTTTGCATTACATTTCAGATAGAGATTCTGAACGGTATGAGCAACATCTAACTTTATGAACAGCACTATTTTACCAGAAGAGCTCAGCAATGATGTAAATAGCTGTAATATCTTTTTGTTATACTTCTACCAAGTCAAATTTATCATCTATAAGCTTAAGTTCCTACAGTATTCTTCACAGAAGTCTTTGCAGGAAATAGACAAAACAATAATGTCTATAATTTGTTCATTAAGAACTGTTAAATCAAAAAAGCCCAACATACAAACTAAAATGCCCATATCATTATCATACTGGCATACGCATTAAAATAAAATCTTAATCCTGCTTTAAAATTTGCCTTGTTACTGTGTGTTTTATAATACCTACTTACTACAGATCTAAAACTAAGACCAAATCAAAACCTGAGGAAACAGGTGGCTACGTTCAAAAGACCCCCAGAACCAAAGCTTTTGAGACAAAAGCCTCCTTAGGAGAAGAACCTTTAATTAGCCTACTGGTATCTTTGTCTAAATCTCTCCTGTACAACAGTGAACATTGTGGTTACCATGGCCATGCTACGTGTAAGGCTCAGGCTGCACTTTCATACTGGTTTTAACTTGATTTCAATCCATGCTGCTACGAAAAGGTGCAGTCCTGCGGCCTCCCGCAACGTGCTCCCACCAACACACTCATGCTGGCACCAGAGTTTGTGCTGTAGCTCAGATAGGATTATTCATCTAGACAAAAACTAACACAGTGAAGGAAGGGGGGAAGAAGACGCTCATTTTTCACGGCATGGGCACGCGAGTAGTGGTGGAGGCAAAAAGGAGCGATAGGAACACGCTGCCAGAGCAGGGAGAGAGCGGGAAAGGGAGGAAGGGCACAACCGTTTCTTTTGGTTGCAGTCACATTTCAATAGGCCTGATCTGGTTGACAAATTGCTTTGTATGGCCATAACCTGATTGTTACCTTTAATTTCTTCCAATTAGTATAAGATACAGAGTTCAATGTTCAGATTTGGTCAACTTCTTTGATAAATTTCCACAAGCACTCTCTGGACTGTTCTGGTTATTGCAATCATTTTTCTTGTAGCCTTTCCACTCTACATTTCTCAATCACATTAATTTAAAACTAACTTGCCCTGCCTTTCGTTCCCCCTTTGGCACGCTTCTGACCCACAGAAAACTTAGAACAGGATGGTCAACGTCAACACTAAGACAGAATGACTCAGCTATAAAAGTGACATTTAGCATCACTACCCTTATTTCCAGTCAATACTATTCATCCCTTCCCTTCAAAATCAAGGAAAGAAACAAAAATAAACAT